TTCTCTTGTGTTCAAATATTTATTTTATAAATACGTCAAATTCGTAGAATGCAAAACCGTTAATTCAGGAAGCAAGTCAGCAGGAAAGCAGCAGGAGGAAACAGTCTTCGCGGATTTAATTAGTCATGAGAACATGATATTAATATTCATAACACTTCGCAATTTAGGCTAAATTTATTATGGACCTAGTTTCAAGAATTTATGTCCAGTTACTGAGCAGAGCGCATTGTCTTTCTGTTTAGAACAGTTACAACGAAAACATATCTAGTGAGATAAGATTTTCATAAAGCTTATATGGATGCGCATAGGGTAAAAGCTCTCTCCCTATTTTGATCGAAAAACTAAAAAGCGTCAAATTAGCTCCCCACAAGCCATGCTGTACTCATAAATCGGCAGTCCTGAAGCAATCATCAACCAACGTCATTTATGAGAATTTTGGTTAAGAGTACCTGAGTAAAAGTAAAGATTTCGGAAACGGGTTTTCCCAACTCTTATTCAGTATTGACCTTAAGCAAATGTATGTTCCGTTTGAAGGGAATGAATTGACCAAAAATAAATTTTTAATCGCGACTGCACAGTTGGAATGCTATTAAAATTTAATTTGTCATTTTTGATTTGAAGTTTTCCGAAACAAAATACGACAAAACTTAGCCTAATGCAGTAATTTGCTAGCTGGCCATGATGTCTTCCCACAATTTTAACAACAGTGCGGTAAACAAAGTGTTTACATGGTGTATTTTATTTTATTTTTTGTTGTTGTTTTTGGTGATGTCCAACCATTACAGGGGCATACAGTTGTCCACAAAATAATAGGAGTGGGATATTTTAACCTGTTTGTCTTTAGTTTATTTAATGTTTCGTATTTTTTTGTAAAAGCCTAGCTGGTAATACAACAAATACCATATAAATTTACATTTTCAAGTTTGTACAAAAATTATAAAAATTCTGCAAATTTTCACCAAAATTTCAAACTATTTAACCAGAATCTTTAGAAAATATGTTGGTATGCAGTTTTGTAGCCCATTGAATTCTAGTCTGAAGAAGTGCAAGTTTCAAGCTGCTAAAAAATTCCGTTGATTTTTGAGAATTTTTTCGGTTGAAGGTGTTTCACGTTTTTTCCATACAAAGTATGTTCGACAATTTTCTTTTATATGGGGACAGTGCCAGCAAAAAAAATTGCCAAAAATCAACGGAATTTTTTAGCAGCTTGAAACTTGCACTTCTTCAGACTAGAATTGAATGGGCTATAAAACTGCATACCAGAATTTTCTCTGAAGATTCTGATTAAAAAGTTTGATATTTTGGTGAAAATTTACAGAATTTTAATAATTTTTGTACAAAGGTTGAAATCTGAATTTATTCGTTGTTTGTTGTATACCCAGCTTGACTTTTGTATAAAAATAATAAACATTAAATAAACAAAAGACAAATAGCAAAAACTGACCAAAATAACGCACTCCTATTATTTTGTGGACCACTGTAAGTGCACTTGTACGCGTGTAAGTGCCAACGGAAATTGTGTAATTCGCTTAGTGGGTAAGCGTGTGAAATGGTATTCGCATGACCACCAGCACCACCGGCACCACCACCAGCAACTTGATAACCCTCAACGTAACGACAATTATTGTTAATGTTTATGCTGCCCGCAGCAGTAAAAGATAAGTTTAATTTTGCTGCTGGCGCTTTAGATTCCGCTGGGTGTTATTTGGTGTTTTGTGGTTCGTTTTGTTGTTGTTGTTTCGGTCACTAATAGCTGGTGTTGGTTTTTGACGCCTGACACTTTTGCTTTTGTGTGTATGTATGTTGCTGTTGTCTAACGGATGGCATTTAAGCCTAATTTCATGTAATTTTCTTCCTAAAAAAATTTTATAATCGTCATTTGTTGTTTAGGTGTTTTGTGCAGTTTGTCTTATTTTGCATTTCTACGCTGAAATTTATTGCGCGTAATCATTAAGTGAAAATGTGGGGCTTCGGTTTACAAAGTTCGCATAATGCAAAATATTGCTGACCCAAATTCAAGCTTTATGTATCCTTATTCATAATACTTTATATGCATGGACAGTCAAATTGAAATTGAAATTTTTTGGACGAACGCAAGAACATCCATCTAGAAGAAACCGAGTGGCCGACAAAGAGTCTTCTCTCTCTACGCTGACAGATGCAGGATAGAATCACGCCGTCAGAGATGCTCTATATTTTGGTCATATTACCGACATCCAGTTTCGACCGAGCATCCCCGACTTGGTAGTTCACATTCTAGGACACACTGTATAGCACTCGCCTAAACAGCGGATCTTCGAGGCATCTTTCTGTAAGTAAACACCAACAGAACCATCTTCACGCCCTCGTCATTATTGACAAGTAAGAAGTGTATGCTTGCTCTCAGCGGAACTAGCATATAGAACAGTGGTCAGCAGGCCATAGCTCACTGTGCGCTCTCTGAGCACATGTATGTTTCACACGCATACAAAGAGTGGCAGCAAGAGAAGTGCATTTAACATACACAGTCTCACTGATTGAATCGTTTGATTGTGTTAGTATGCCGACCTCCCATATAGAATATGGAATTAACATTCTGAAGGAAAATGCAGAGTGCAGTTATAGAGAAGAAAAGCGAATTTTATTAAAAACTCTGTTGAGAATTGGATTGGTAGTCAGGGGCTAAAAGATTTAAATTGTTCTTCGTTAACTGGATCTTGTTTATTGAGCCCTTCATCTTCATCTTCTTCTTGTTTGGTTTTATAATATCCATCCTAACGATTTTGGCCGAATCTCGTTACTCTTTTGTGCCAACTGATGCGAATTGAACTTGTTGAACTCTAGGAATTCATTAGTATGCAGTAGCCTGTCAGATATCCGATGATATGTAGTTCTTAAAGCCTTCCGACTAAGATCAAGAGCCGCTCAGAGGCTCCACTAAAAGGAAGTAAAAATTTGCTTTGTACGCATTGAGATACGCAATCTGAAAGTTCTCTCCTTTTCCCTTAGATAGACCACAGAAAGGCTGTAGGCCATCTCATCCGTGTTGAGCTTGTAGCAATCCAAGCCCAATATGACCTAGAGCCTACAACAACGTAACATTGCTAAATGTTCATAGTTTGTCTGTATACTTTTGGCAACTATCAACTAGCCTTAAAAGCGTTTAAGGTCTGCCCAAGACTCTTAACCCTAACATTATGGTTATAGCGGCCACGTCTTCAAATCCTTAATTAACGTTTATTGTAATCACATCTCAAGAGGTGTACATCATGCGAAAACTTTGACGCAATGAACTCTCAAGTTCCATTTTTACATTTTCAATTCATTCTCAACGTATATCAGTTATAACTAATTTAATGCAAGCAATATAAGTTACTTAAGGCTTTGTATTAATAAAAATTTATGACAGCTTTTAATCGTGACCACCTGCCACTGTTGTACTTGGTTATAGATATTTGTACATACATACATATGTATATCACTTGCGATGTTTACAAGTTAAACAATTCAATTTAGCTATTAAAAAAAGCTGGAAAAACGAGCAATCACACAGACAGGCAGATAGCGTAACTACGCCTGCATAGCGCATATGCGTTGCATTGACAAATTGTCGCACAAAGGGAATCCACCGACCGTCGAAGTGTGCAATGCAGCATAAAAACACAAGTCAACACTCAGACACAATCTGCAAACAATCAGCACTAATTTAGCCAACAATATACCATTAGATCGCACCACCTCACAATAAGCAAAAAAAAACAGGTCCGCCTGCACTAGGGTGCCCATCGAAAATGCTTTGTTTTGGAAATTTCAAGATCCTACTCCCCCAATTTTATTCCTTCTTATGAGAAATATTATTGCCAATTTTTATAGATTTAAAAAAAAAAAGATCATTTAGATGTCGCGACCGGTCGTTTTAAGTCAGAAATTAGGGTTTTGTAGACTTATGAGTTTTTGAATGACTATTTTTGATTTGATTTCAAAGACCGAACATGATCTGAGAAGAGGATATACACGCCTTTAAAATGGTATATAATAATGTATTGTCGGACTAGTCTGGTTGGGATTTTTTATCGGGTAAATTAAAAAAATACCCATAATTTTTTAAATTTCGACCATCGATAATTTCTACAATTTCAAATTATGGAGTGCTATGTAAAATTAAATTAATTAGAATTGGGGATAGGGTCTTAAAATTTCCAAAAAAAAATCATTTTCGATGCACCCTTGCGTCTACTGCGTAAACTTTTACTAAGAAAATTTTTTTATTCGAATCCCCAGTTTCACCAATCAATTTTAAAATTTATCTTTGAACCTATTTTATTTTTTATCAATAAGGCCATAAAAATATAAATTTTCCGAACAAAATTTTTTATTGTCGAATGTAGGCAAAAATGAAATTCGAAATTGTCTTGGAAAATTACTTTAGACGCAGGCGAGTAGTACAGTGAACTTTTGTTTTGTTTACTTGTAAGGTGGTGCAGTCTAATGTACATGTATGTAGTACCACAGCTGATGGCATATCTGAGACCGACTACGTGCGCATGCGCAAGCCAAATTCACACATTGTCACAGCGCTGCAGCGTCGATTGTTACACTTGTTTACTACAATCGTCGCCACTTGCAACTTTCAAAATGCATGCAACATTTTTATGCCGCAAGGAGGGAGGCGCTCACTTTGCTGTGCTGCGCTGCATTCACTTACTTTTTTTTCTTTTCTTGCGCGTCACTCGTCTGCGGATTGACATGATTTTATATTGTCGACGATACAATGCACAAAATATTCCCATCACTTGTGCATAAAAACAGTTGAGTAAATTTGTGATTGAATGCCGGTATAAT